AAAATTAAGATATAACATGTTATTGCTACTGATTGGATATTTATATAATTTTGTTATATGAATGTTACATTATAATTTTTAAATGTTTTTGAATATACATTTAACCCATACAGCACAAGAAGGTGCAGAAACATTACATAGATATATGTATTTATAATAATATAGAATACGCAACAAAAAGTTTAACAAATATTTACTTCTAAAAAATAATTTATAAAATATTTTCCCCTAAAAAATAAAGAATTCCTAAAAAATAAAAAATAAAAAGTAAATATGAAATCAATATTTAACTAACCAAGTATTTAAAAATAATTCAGTTTGTGAGGATTTGTAATTTAAAATAGTATTTATCATAAAATCAATCTTGCATTTACAGAAATATTATAGACTCTCTCGAAAAAATTAAAATGCATTTTATTTTAATTAAAAAATTACACTATTATGTTTCAAATAAATATTTTGTATAATATATAAAAACACTATTATATTGCGGATTTTATCACAAATAGTAAATCATAAAATTACTTAATCCTTGCAATAATGTCGATTACATTGATCACCAATTTCGAATTTAAAAGTGCCCCGTGCCAAACTGATCGACTAGTTTTAAAATTAATCATAAGCTTTACCAAAGGCTCGGAACGAAAAAGATTAAGATTAAAGCATAGACATAGTATATCTAGACCGAGTGTTGAGGAGTGGGAGCCGAGGTGCACGTAGCTTGCTTGCTTGCTTGCTTGCTTGGGTTTTGGGATTGGCTCCAGCGAATACTCGCTATACGGCCATAAACTGGTTTAAAGATAGAATAATGTCGTAAGCGAGAGAGAACGCAAGGAGCACGAAACAGAGTATGTCCTTTTCTACGTGTATCTTTACCCCCACTCCTTAAATAAAGGCAAACGCTCGGTCTAGATATACTATGTTTATGGATTAAAGTGACATACAAAGGCCGGTATTCATAGTCAGTTTTTATTTCAAGACCGTCTTAAGTAATGTCTTAAGATGCTAAGACGGCTCTGTGATTGGTTTAGGACATCTTAAGATTGTGCTTAAGACGGTCTTAAATATAAGAACTGACTATGAATACCGGCCATAAACTTGGCGTGCTCGGGTTGCATTATAAGTCATACATTTTTATTAATATATTGATAATGATTTCTGATAATCTATTGCAAATTTTTATTTCAGATCAGGCACGCCAAGTTTTTGTATGTCACTTTAATCTTAATCTTTTTCGTTCCGAGCGTTTGGTAAAGCTTATGATTAATTTTAAAACAAGTCGATCAGTTTGGCACGGAGCACTTTTAAATTCGAAATTGGTGATCGATGTGATCGACATTATTGCAAGGGTTAAGTAATTTTATGATTTACTATTTGTAATAAGATCCGCAACATAATAGTGCTTTTTATATATTACACAAAATATTTAATTGGAACATAATAGTATAATTTTTTTATAAAAATAAAATGCATTTTAATTTTCTCGAGAGAATCTATAATATTTCTGTAAATGCAAGATTGATTTTATGACAAATACTATTTGAAATTACAAATCCTCACAAACTGAATTATTTTTAAATACTTGGCTAGTTAAATATTGATTTCATATTTGCTTTTTATTTTTTATTTTTTAGGGATTCTTTATTTTTTAGGGGAAAACTTTTTTATAAATTATTTTTTAGAAGTAGATATTTTTGAAACTTTTTGTTGCGTACAAGTTGGGATATTTTTTATATACTTGGCGTGTTTTTTTTAACATTTGTAAGGTTTTTTTAGTAGGATATCACTTCTTTTTGTAAAAATTTACATTTTTTTTGAAAAATATAAATTACTATATTATACAATATATACATGGATATAATTGTTTTAAAGATTTATTCAATGGAAAGGAAATTTTTTTTAGAAGAAATTATATAAACAAACAGTACATATTTTTACAAAGCTTATATATACCATATTGAATTTGAGCAGACATAGTATGTGTTCGAAAATAGGTTTAGTTACTGCCAGTAAAAACAATGTAGTTGGCAGCAGTGAAAATTACTGGTGGTGTTGCGTTTCGATTTTACTGCCAGTAAATGCCAGTGAAACGTAAAACTGCTGAAGTGGTCCCAAGCAATCGTAAACATAATTTTGAAAAAAATTGTATGTTTAACTGATTCTTTTGATTAAATTAGGCTAATAGAATAAAAAGTGATCAGCAGTAATTATGGAAGAATATATTTTGCTTGACAATATTATTTGCAAATCCTCTACTAGTGCTTCATCGAGTGACAGTGATGACAATGAAGATTTGTTAAATATTATAATTAATAATAACAAAAATGAAAGAAGAGTACCAAAAATTAGAAATTATTTGGAGCATGTTGTTGCACTGTACACAGATATCGAATTTAAATCACATTTTAGGTTAGTATCAGGTCTACTGGAAAGTTCTGTCCGTTTTTGGAATAAAACAAAATACAAATTTTGATTACCGTCAATAAACTTTATTAAATAATGTAATTGCCATTATTATTAATGATTTCTTGCCAGCGTGAGGGCACACATGCGCTAAATAAACATGTGCTTGTTTTATCTTTTGATACGAAAAATTGAACCAGTGCTTGTTTGATATCTTCTTCATTTTTGAATTTCTTGCCCCTCAAAAAATTTTGTAAGGACAAAAACAAATGATAGTCGGAGGGTGCTAAGTCCGGGGAATATGGTGGATGCGACAGAATTTCCCAGCCTAGTTCTGCAATTTTTTGACGAGTCCCCAAAGCAGCATGTGGCCTGGCATTATCATAATGCGGTATGATGTTCTTCCTATTGAACATCGCCGACCTCTTTTCTTGGACTGCTGTATTTAAATTATCCAGTTGCTGACAATACTTCTCCGAATAATGGCAATTACATTATTTAATAAAGTTTATTGACGGTAATAAAAATTTGTATTTTGTTTTATTCCAAAAACGGACAAAACTTTCCGGTAGACCTAATATATGAACATGATTATAAAGATTACTATAAAAATCTATAAAGATACTTTACATATGAATGGCAAAATGAAAATCTTTGATTAATAAAATATAAAATTAGCTGTATGCTTACATAATTATATTTATCTATCAAGAGATACGGTAGAGTCTCGCGCCAAGTTTATCCTTCCAAAAACACATGAAATAAACCGATTTATGCACTGTCTATACTAATCCATTGTTTAACTGCTAGTAAATGCCAAACAAAGTTTTTTGTTCATTAAATTAGCCGACGCATGCATCCGCAATTCCGCGGAAGCAATACGTAACGCACGCGAGTTGCCTTAGCGAGCGATGCGCGAGTTAGATTTCAAAGGCAACTCGTTTGAAACTTCGACGCCGAGCAAACGAGCCCCGGGAAAAGTACTTTTACATCAAATATCCCGCGCATAGCACGTTACTAAAATTCGTGGGTAAAATTCTTTTGCCGTGACCGGCGATGTAAAAGGTCGCTGCCCTTCTTGCTACCGCCACGTCGGACGGACGCTTCAAAAGCACGCGCTTTCGACAACTCCGAGAAAAGAGACTAAGCGCATCAACCCGCGGGAAATGCACCTCGCAAGAATGCACCATCTGTGTATCATTCGTGGACAAAGACGAGGTATCCGCCAGCATACTCCGTAGTAAATAAAGGGTTGGACACGCCAAATTTTGTAGATACGGGTTTTATACGAAAACTTTAAGAAACAATATTGTATTTGAAAATGAAATATTTCGTCATAATATTATAACACTGCTCACTGACCCCAAAAATATAGTGTACAGAAAACTTAATTTTTGGTTTCACTAAATAATTATATTTTTAATTTAAATTGTTATATTTTATATAACATCATGTCAGAATTAATAAAAAAGACATGAGTTTTTCTCATACAGTAAAATATTCTGAAAAGAGACATGCAAAGTCTTCCAAAATCTTTTCGACAAGTTTATATTGAATAAATTATAAAATTACAACATTGAAAAATTGCAAATCTTGATATATTTATCAAATTGTCCAACTCAGATATTTCATAAATTATGTAAATGATAATTATTAACTTCTGTACTGTGTTTTTTAATCATATATTCCCTGGAGTCGATAGCGTGTTAAGCGTTAAAATGATTAAGCTACTACCAAATTACCAAACAGTTAGACTAAGAATAAGTTGGGTTTCAAGCTTAGCTTTGCTTAAATTTTAAATGCCGAACAAAGTTATCCTAAGTAAGGTTTACTGGACTTAGTCCGGGAATTTAGACCCAAATAATTAACGTCGCTCTACGGATCTTGGCTGACACGCCTAAGCATATCACGACGGCAAGGAAGACAAAGTACAATCCACGTGAACATTTATTAAGAGTCAAGGGAATATATCCTTGAAACAATGGAAATGATAGTGAAAGAGAGAGAGAGAGAATATATATAGCAAAAAAAATCATATAAATTATTCCAGAGTATGAACAAGAATTAATATATTCTGTTGAGTATAACCATTAAATAAATAGAGAAATGATGTAACTGTATATAATTTAAAACACATAATAGTTAATTAAATTTAAATTAATTGAGTTAATTAAAAAATTTTAATATTTTTTAAATTTATTTTATTATTAATTGATAATATCTTTGATATTAATTGAAAATGAGATTAACTTTTAAATTATTTCCGGACAAATTAAAATCG